CCCCAAAACCCCAAAACCCCAAAACCCCAAAACCCCATGATATAGTGTAAAAGCGTACTTAAATAACTTAAAAGTTAATAATAAAACTCAGTTCTATCAATTATTTTTCAAAATTTAATTAGATATCTATCACAATATAGAATCATTTAAAAATGGAACCAAGCGTGACAATTCAAGCTACTAATTTTGTCTAGCAGAAGTAGGGGAACATCAAAGATTTCTACAAGATTACTAGCTGCATTGGAAGAGGTAACCATTCTTTGTTACTAAGGTACTGAGCAAAATGGTATAGGTGCATATGGGGAAGTCAGAAAGTGTTAACATAGAGATAGTAAAGCTCTACGAGCAGTAAAAATCATAAACAAAAAGTGCTTAGAGGAGGATGAAAAAGAGAAGCTACTCAATGAGATTCAAATACTAAAGTAGATGGATCACCCAAACATTCTAAAGCTATATGAATTTTTCTAGGATGAAAAGAGATATTTCTTAGTCACTGAGTAATTAAATTACATGATAAATTATAAATTAGACTATGTTATGGAGGAGAGCTCTTTGATAAGATTTCTGAGGAACAGTATTTCAGTGAAAAGGATGCTGCAAACATTATTAAGCAGGTGCTATCTGCAATCAATTACTGCCATACTAGCAAGATCGTTCACAGAGATTTAAAGCCTGAGAATCTTCTCCTAGATAAGGGTCAAGACCCAAAAATTACCATTATTGATTTTGGAACGTCCGCAGTATTCGATTCAAGCAAGAAAATGAATTAAAAATTTGGTACTCCTTACTATATAGCACCTGAGGTATTGAAGAAGAATTATGATGAGAAATGTGATCTCTGGAGTATAGGAGTAATCCTTTACATCTTGTTGTGCGGTTATCCTCCTTTCAATGGAGCAAATGATAAGTAAATTATTGAAGCAGTTCTTAAGGGAAAATACACCATTGATGGTAAGGTTATCAAGATCATTATCATTTTTAGAACCTGAATGGGATGAGGTGAGTGAAGAAGCCAAAGATCTTGTAAAGAAACTTCTTACATTTGATCCAGCAAAGCGAATCACCGCAGCAGATGCTCTTTAGCATCCCTGGATTAAAAAGCAAGCAACTTAGGAGAAAGTAGAGAAGACAATTGCTGCCAAAGCTCTAAACAATCTCAGAAATTTCAGAGTAAGTACTTATACTATTCTCAACTATCTAGGGCGATTTAAAATTAAAGCAAGCTACTTTAGCCTTTATTGCAAGCCAGTTAGTTGGTTAAGAGGAGAAGGACTACTTAGAGAAGATATTCAAGGCGCTAGATAAAAATGGAGATGGACACTTATCTAAAGAGGAGATTCTAGAAGGATACGAAGAACATTTCGGAGTTCCCATTAATGAGGAGGAAGTAGATAAGATGATGAAGAATGTAGATATGGATGGCAATGGTGTAATTGAATACACTGAGTTTGTCATGGCAACAATGAATGAGAAAAATATGATGGGCAATGATAAGTTGAGAGCAGCTTTCAATATGTTTGATAAAGACGGTAGTGGCACTATTTCACCTGATGAAATTAAGGAGGTGCTTGGATTTGATTCATCAATAAGCTAGGATGCATTAGATAAAATCATAAAGGAAGTGGATGAAAACGGAGATGGAGAGATCTAATTTGAAGAATTTGTACATATGATGAAGAAACTTGCAATCAATGAAAATTGAAATCTCAATCGCGCTATAAATTATTATCCATTTCTAACTTTCAAACTTTCTTATTTCATTATCAAATTCATTTAGATACTTATGGGGTTTTGGGGTTTTGGGGTTTTGGGGTTTTGGGG